CTACTCACTCACCTACCCACTCACCTACTCATCTACCCACTCACCTACCCACTCACATACCTACTCACCTACTCACTTACCTACTCACCTACCTACTCGCCTACCTACTCACCTACCTACCTACTCACCTACCCACTCACCTGCCTACTCACCTATCTACTCACCTACTCACCTCCTCACTCACCTACTCACTGACCTACTCACCTACTCACCTACCCACTCACCTGCCTACTCACATACCTACTCACCCACTCACCTACCCACTCACCTATCTACTCACCTACCTACTCACCTACCTACTCACCTACTCACCTACCTACTCACCTACCCACTCACCTACCCTTATCACCTACCCACTCACCTACCCACTCACCTACCCACTCACCTACCTACTCACCTACCTACTTACCTACCCACTCACCTACATACTCAACTACCCACTCACTTACCCACTGACCTACCTACTCACCTATCTACTCACCTACCTACTCACCTACCTAGTCATCTACCCACTCACCTACCCACTCACCTACCTACTCACCTACCTACTCACCTACCTAGTCACCTACCCACTCACCTACCCACTCACCTACCTACTCACTTACCCACTCAAGTACCTACTCACCTACCTACTCACTCACCTACCAACTCACCTACCCACTCACCTACTCACTCACCTACCTACTCACCTACCCACTCACTTACTTACTCACCTATCTACTCACCTACCAACTCACCTACCCATTCACCTACTCACTCACCTATCTACTCACCTATCTACTCACCTACCCGCTCACCTACCTACTCACCTACCCACTCACCTACCTACTCACCTCCGCACTCACCTACCTCCTCACCTACTCACTCACCTACCCACTCACCTACTCACTCACCTACCTACTCACCTACCTAGTCGCCTACTCACCTACCTACTCACCTACTCACTCACCTACCCACTCACCTACCCACTCAACTACCTATTTACCTACCCACTCAACTACCTACTCACTCACCTACCCACTCACCTACTTATCTACCCACTCACCTACCCACTCACCTACCTACTCACCTACTCACCTACCTACTCACCTACCTACTCGCCTACATACTCACCTACCTACCTACTCACCTACCCACTCACCTACCTTCTCACCTACTCACCTACCCACTCACCTACCTACTCACCTACCTACTCACCTGCCTACTCACCTACCTACTCACCCACTCACCTACCCACTCACCTATCTACTCACCTACCTACTCACCTACCTACTCACCTCACCTACCTACTCACCTACCCACTCACCTACCCTTATCACCTACCCACTCACCTACCTACTCACCTACCTACTCACCTACCCACTCACCTACCCACTCACCTACCCACTCACCTACCTACTCACCTACCT